TGAAGGTGGCTGTCTTCTGGGGCGTTGCACTGTGTATTCTGGTAGAAATGTACCATTGTTCATCCTCCGGATGGTATATGAATGAATGTGGAGCTGTGGTGGAATGATATTGACAGGAGAAAATCAAACGACTCACTACGTCCACCACAAATCTTGGGCTTGAACCTGGGCCTCCACTGTCAGATGCTGGCAACTAATTACCTGAGCTATATTACTGCCCTGAAGAGTGTTAAGAGTTAGGTTTAGTTTACTGATAATCAGAACATATCTGAAGGCTTTAAGTGCCAAAAGTCCAGCCTTCATGTCTGTGCCATATTTGGTCCCCCATTTTCTTCAGTTTGGGGCATCTCACAATAACTTGGATGATGAGTGTGATTTTATTGTAAGCTTATCAAGTGCTTTTTATAAGCTAAAGCTACAGACTCAACATTTACTTATAACAGTGACTACTTATTTTTTGTCTAGCGGTTGAAAAGCTGTTGTCTGCGTGTGCTGGCAAATACTGTGTTGGTGATGAAATATCCATTGCAGACTGCTGCCTCATTCCACAAGTGTTCAATGCGCGAAGGTAAGGCATGGACATGGTCTGGTAATAAAATAATATTGGAATCAAACTTCATATATGGAGCTTATCTGATTTCTTTGTAGGTTCCATGTTGATTTGCGACCATTCCCCATTATATTACGGATTGATCGTGAACTCGAAAACCATCCAGCATTCCGCGCGGCCCATCCATCTAATCAACCAGATTGCCCTCCTGAAGCCACAAAGTAAGGGGGTTGACATCTGACAAATATGTGAGAACATTGTTCAGTGGACTTCCATAAATTGAGGTTTCTCAAACTGCTGGAGCCTCACAACTCTTTATCATGAAGACACTTGTCTTGTCCTTCATGTTATTATATTTAGTTATGGATAACATTCATTTCTTTCCTCCGAGTGTACATTTTGAAAGAGCTGAATGTTGCTTTTATTGCATTTAAATTTTCCAGTATTGGATGTTGTGAAGTATCATGATGTTCAAAACTCCTACAAAGGTTGTGAGCACTGGTTTGAGAATCCTTGCCATCTAGTACTTGTTCAGTATCGTTTTAGGAAGGTAAGAGTGTTATCAACACTGCATAGAGCCCAAGGTGTGTTAGATTGTTTCAGATTAGTTTGTGGTATAATACTAAACAAGTGACTGTCCAAAGTACAAAATAAAACATTTCTCTCTTTTATAAACCATAATGTAACACCACTGTGCAGTTTAAAATACTGCTAATTCGATATACATTAAGTACTTGTAATATTGCATGTGGTACTGAAATTACTAGAGGTACAGGGTTGCTGTTTGATTTTTATAATTTTATATGGACACCAATTGTTAAAAATATGATATTGACAATTTAACAGTGTTACTTTATATTATGAGAAGAATTGAAGAACTTTAGGTGATGCCTCTTGATTGATTCTGTTGAATAACATTCGATCTAGTTTGCTAAAAATGTGTTAAATTTTATTTACTTCTCAGATGCAAGCACACATACTGTAGATTGTTTTACAGAATAGTTTGCAAAAGAGAGTTTTCGTAAAATTATAACTTACTAATATCAAAATAATGTATGAGAGTGTACCTTATATTAAACAACAACCCTGAGACAAAATAACATCATATCAGCTATTGTAAGGACGATGGACAAAATAAGGTACAGGGTTTCCACTACAAGTTACTTATATACCTTAGTTCCCTTAATGCAGGGGTTCTCAACTTTTTCCTTATTTAGAGCTACATTCACCCTTGTAGATGACAAGATCTCAAATATGGAAAATTGAAAGTTCATGGAAAGTTTTAACCGTGTGACACGGCTGATAGCCCGAGAGGATTTTATTAATTCATTGAAATTTATTAGAATTCTATAAACTTATTATTACAGACAGGTTCACCTATTACATCAAAAATTTTCTGTAATAAACTCAGTCTTTAGTGAGATATTTCATCCTGGTTTTACATGGGTAACCTTTCAGTATCAGGTTGAATGTCTGTTGTTATGATTCACATGCATCCTTTTAAGTTTTCACCAGTAAGATGCATCCCAGTTCTTGATTTTACATTATTCATTAATTGCTTCTTTCTCGCAACTGTGTGGTGTCTCCTTATTGGATGGCACCCTACTCCTCTTAATCCTTCACATCCCATGCACTGCTCACCGCCAAATCAATATATACATTCTTCCTACCCTGCATCCGCTTTGCATAGACATTCACCCTGAAGATGGCAACTGCAGTATTTGTTGGAACATTGAAAAACATTAAACTTTCAGTGCAGCTTGTTCCTGAAAGCTGGAGTTATATATTAAACTCCAGCCATGAAAACATGAGGACAAGGTCATTAAGAAAGCATGTTTTCTGATCTTCTTCTTCTATGGCTCTCCGGTCTGTATTCGGTCCATGGCCTCCTCAATTCTCCTCTTCCATTTGGTCCTCTGTTAGGTCCGTCTGTCCAAGGCTTTGATTGAGGTTTCGAAACATCTTCCTTTTTACGGTGCAAGGTTGTCAGCCTTGCGACCAACCCCCAACCTGGAGGACCAGGGTACCTGTCTTAGTCTGATCACTCCCCCTCGACCAATCTGGCTAGGGAGGCCCTACGAGTAGCTATGCTACCACCAGCATTGCTCTTGGGATCACTGAGGTACTCAAGCCCCCCCACCACCATGACAAGGTGCAGATGTTTTCTGATGTTAGGTAATTATTTTATATCATACAGGTTGATGCAGAATTACAAAAAAATGTATGCAGGCTGCACAAAAAACATTGCCAAGCCTTGAATTGAGATCCCCTGCTCTAATGTTACTATTTTGTGCAATGTTATTGATTGCACAAAAGCGTAGTTCATCGGAAGCAACATGCAGTAGTGAATGTAATAAGTTCTCGAATGAAAGGTCATTTTCCAAGCAGCCAAGAAAAATAATGGTACAGCATGTTTGCTGTATGTTATTCACCATTTACTCTTGTAATTTTCACTAAGCCTACTCAGTAGAAGCAAACTTCTTTGTATTGGAATAAAGCCTTAAATTTAGATTGGTTTGGTTTGAGTTACAGATGATCAAAGCCTGTGTGCTGCCGAGAGGTGCCAAAGTAAAGTGATACAGGAACAAAATTCTTAATAGGGGTTGATGTCAGAGGGAACATTTGTTACTGTTCCTTGAATACACTGGCTCCTTAAACCAAAATGTTGTCGGCCATCTCTGATTGAAACCTTGCAAATGAAATTAAACATCGAATTGTAAAGCCCATTACAACACAGTTGCGTAAAATAAATTTTAAGTTGCTAGATCAGATTGTTCCAAGTGTCAATATTGAAATGATGAAATTTCATTAAGTAACAAGCCGTATATTTAACCAAACTCCGTGACATTTTGGTATATTAAGTTCCAGAAAATAGGTATTAACATGGACAGTTGGATCATTCTATCTAGATTTTAGTATGGACAATATAACTGCAGTCTTTAAAAATCCACTTTTTTATTAGCACTTACAAAAGCAAGAAACATTATAAACTCCATCAAAAATGACGTAATGTTTTATGTAGCCCTTTCATGTTTAACAAACATACACAGCAGTATTCCCCAATAACATTAACTCATTTTTGTTCCCCGAAAGTTTGGCCAGAGATAAACTGAGAAATTCCTCATATTTACAACAAATATAACAGTCAAACAATTAAATACTAAATACATTTATAAATTATCTAGAAATATAAATATCGACTTTACCTGAGGAAGAATGTGACATACACCAAAGGTGTTTTGCTTGTCAGATTATTTATATTTTTCATCACATAAGGAATGCTTTTCTAAGAATTTAAGGAGTGAAATTTTATGCTTCAATTTTTATCCAGTCTGTATTACTTTTCTTAAAATTGGCATATTTTCGTATTCAAAGCAACCTGTATTGAAAACAAAAGTGCATATTAAATAATCTGACAAAGCTTAGAAGATGCATGCATGGAATTAAATTTAAATGCTCAGTATTTGTTGTGTAATGTTTTTTTTTTTAGTTACATTGTTAGCGATAGTTTTATTGCATTTATTAGTGTTTGTGTATTAGAATTTGTGCCAATTTCGATGGCAGCCCTGACCGACATTTAAGAAATGTGTGAATTGACCCTCTACTAGAGAAAAATCTTGGATCACCATATTCGGAAGAGTTGAATCTTAAAAGTGTTGCATTTATGTGCCAATGAATGAGTCTGAACAGTGAATGGACAGTACCAAATTGTAGCTTCCATAAATTAAGGTTACGAGCTTTTGTGCAAGTCATGTTCATATTCTAAGACCATTTACTAAAAATGTGTGTGCTGTATATATTCCATTGTGATTTTAATTTTGAAATTAGGTAGTAATCTTTTTATTGTTGCAACTTTCTTGCACCTGATATTGACATATAGCAAACAGAAGACTGTTATTCATTTATTTTTTTATTAGTGGTAATAGTATGCTTGAGATAAAATTTTGTGTGAAAGCTTCTAGTTACTGGCAGTGTCATACATTTCAGATGCCTGTTTGAATATTGCACGTTAATGATGTAAGTGCTACTAAAATCACTGTTTGATGACAGGTACTGCATCTTTTAGTGACTCTTTTAAAATGAATTTGCTCAGATTATTTTAATTTGATTTTTTTTCTGTGCAAGCCTGTTTCATTTGTAAATTATTATCCACGAGGTAAATGTGTACAGTCTACGAAATAGTCATGGAATTATAATGGCCTAGGTATTAGGTTCAAGTACAGTATAAGTAAATTTTGAAATACTGTGTAGTTGCTAAGTATATATTTTTAGAATGTTTGCTTAATTTGCTAGTATTTCTTTTGCTCAGATTTGTTTTAAGTCGTCTTTTAAGAATATGTGTCTTGATGCTATTTAGATGAAATGGATTGAAATGGATTTGCATTAGCCGAACACCACCAGAAGCATCACTGTCTGAGAGGAAATGTTAGGTTGTGCTTAATGAAATGTGCAGTTCGTTATGCCATGGATTTATTGAGAATGAACCATGATTTACATTTTGATTGAATGAAGTTGTTTAGTATAAAGCTTCTGTCTTATTTGCTCATCCACCGAAAGCCTTTCAAACCATATTTTGTTTTATTTTCAGAGCAGGATTATCATTTCAAAAAAATACAAGTCATTTGTTTAAAGATTTTAGATGTCTTTTTCCCTTAGTGGAAGAGCAGAAAGACATCAAAACCACATATTTCTATATTACAGCATATATATTAACTATGAAAATATTTTTAAAAAACTTAATTCTCATAAAAATACTGAAAGTGAATGATCTAACAACATAGTTGAAGGAAGAAAATTAAAACAAAGTATTTTGTACTGCTCAGTGATATGGCAGCAACACTGTTAATATTTGTAAACATAACTAGCATCTACCACGGTTATATGAACATGAATGACATACCTCCACACGCACTGGAACATTTTAATAAGGCTGCCATGAGGGATTTCTCCCCATTTTAAGGATTAGGCTCTACAACCCTCAGTGACAATTGTTCTACGTTTATGGCACTGATGACTCCAAATTATTTTAGGAATACAACTTAACTTTAATGAGTTAATGGCAATTCACAATGAAGAAATATCTGTACTGTTATAGGTACAAACAATTTGTAACTCAATTTGAGTTGGCTTGAATATCAACATTTACACAATCACATTGCCACTTCTCGACAACATGAAAACTCAGACGGTGGAACTTAACCCAGTGTGTCAAATTGAGATGTACCAATGAACCTAAATTCTCAGGCATACAGGAATTTCTCTTAATAATAATCACACTGTACAAACTTGCAGGAACATACCGTTGTTTCGGTATAAACATCAATTTTTACCGTAAATAGTAACTTTTTGCTGCAGTCTGACACATCACAATGACACAGTAAATATACCAATGTATTGACATTCAAACTTCATTTTTTTAGAAAAGGCTTTGACAATACAATTAAAAATCTTTGAAAACCTTTATAGGCAAATAACTGTTGTATCCACACAACAATCGTAGCCATACCCTTCACCTTCGACATATTTCCAGCCATTCCACAAATAATATATAGTACAATAATAGTATATGATTACAACAAGCAAAAAAATAAACATGTGTACATGGTAACTTGATAATGAGAATGTTTCTGTACAACAATATCACATTTCACCAATGAATGAATGAATGAATATTTATATACATGACTATGACAAAAAATCTAGTCTCAAAAATGCTAAATGGACGCCATTTTTCTGACACAGAAGCAAGACACTCTTGCTTCCCATCACCATGTTTATGGACCTGGAACATCTTTTATCTAGGAGACTACACGAAGGACAGAAAAGGAACCGAATCCTCTAGGCAGAGAAATGTGACCACTCGACAGATAGTTGTGAAAGACTAGTAGCACAAAAACCATGCAACAACAAACATGAATGACAGTGAGTGGGGTAAAGGGATATTGAATTTACACCTAACAATAAACAGGCTGTATTATCACAGAACAAAGATCAATTATGTACTATGGGTAAAAGGCAGCTCACTTTGGACTGTGTTCATTGTACACAATGAAAATGTCCAAGAAAATGTTATGTTGAAGATAAATTTATACTCATCAACTTAATACACTGCAGTAAGTCTTCATATAAACCGTGCGTGAAGTGTTTTAAGATCACTAATCAAAATTAAAAAATGTAGTTCAATGATAATGAAGTACAATCTTTATATAATATATATATATAACAATGAAGTACATATAAGATAATCCATTTCTGAGAAGATCAGAATGTTAAACTCATACAGTCTTCAAAAAATTTTAATAACATTTAGACAGATCATTAGAAATCATATATAAGGGGATTTATGAAATAAACTCCAGGGGGAAAAAATTCATATAATGAAGCGTACAAGTATTTTCTATCGATGCAGGTTCCGTGCAGTAACCTGTTGCTGAAATGTTAGTGATGATTTATGCCAAGTCAGATATTTACAATACATATGATTTAATGTAAAGTTCTTGTAACAACATTTAGGTATGTCATGATGTTTGCTGGAGTATAACAGATACATGAAATATTACCAATCTAGAACCCACGCTATGACCTTCAAGAGGTACGATTTACCCACAAGGACAACTTTTTAACTGGTTATTCAAAGAAGATGCCATGGAAACTCATTTTGCCATTTGGATTACATTACTCGACTATAATGGCTTATGAAGTGAGAGACTGTGATGGTTGTTTTAATATTAAGTCAACAAAAATCTAGACGAGGTAAACAAAACTGTTTACAAAATAATTTTATTGGGTGAAGTGTATAGTAAATGCACATACGGTGTTTAATTACTTATTTTACTGCAGGATTCCCAGAGCACTGGGTCTGGCCCGTTTGGCTTCTTCCTCGCTGATCCTCTGCTCTATCAGATACTGTGCAGTACTGATGGCATTAGGTGAGCCCGCTATAGAAACGATGCGATTACGAGTACCAGGAGCAAATGTGCCCTTCTTTGATATTTGAATATTTGCTCCACTAAGATGTTGAATTTCTACAAGAGATCTACCACCAGGACCAAGAATAGCACCAACAATATTTTCTGCAATTTCCAGATCAACTTTTTTTGGGTCACCTTTCAGATCTGAAGGGGTGGGACTTTTACATATGGACTGACCAGTACCTAGACCAAAAGAGTTATTGTTAAGAGAAATGGGCGAGCCAAGATTAGTAGGACTTGACTGATGTCTAAAAGGATCGAACGGACCACTGGACGCACCACCCTCGCCGAATCGGTCCATCGCCCCTCCACGAGATGTTGGAGTCGAAGTACCGATCGAAGACACCGTGCCGATAGGACCGAACACACCACCATTACTTCCAACCCCATTTGCTGTTTGAGGGGATGGTGTGGAGTCCATGGGACTTACTCCTAAATAGTTGCTGCTTGCCATAAGGGAGTGGTTGCTGGAATTGCCTGATGAAACTCCTGTTCCAGTCAATCCAAGCCCCATTCCAAGAATCCCATATTGTGCGAGTATACCCATGGCAGATGTTATGTCACTAGTTGCTTGGTCCGAGTAGCCAGTGGTCCTCAATATAACCTTTATGTGATCCAAAAGCTGTGCAGTAACCGAGGCATTTGCTGGTCCAGCTGACGGATTACCGAGGTTCAAGCTCAAATTCAGGCTGGTAGGACCTCCGTTCAGCAGCATCCCACCAACTGGAAGTAACATGTTGAATATTATTCACAAGAAACACCTGACAAAGTGAACAGTGGGATACAGCATTCAAAAATGGTGTTATGAAGTAAGGGCATATGTAGAATGATGCAATTTGTTTTTAAATAATGATAGGCAAAAGAGCAATACGCACCAAATTTTGTTCAAAGTCTGCATCATAAACTAATGCCGGAGAAAGATTGTATCCAAAATGCTACAATTATGATCCAGACTGATTCAGCTTTCTGTTCAAGAAGATTTTATCACAGTCACTACCAAGACTGAAAACTCATCTAATACTCCAGACTGCTCTGTAAGATATAATCATTACTGTTCCAGATATCACTGCATTCAGTTTCTTGTATGATCTACTTTATGTTACGATTGTCCATCCCTGTAAAATACAATTCAGAGCACAGCTTACTGCAAAAGAAGTTCTCTCGACATAGAAAAAGTTCATCTGTACACTCACTCCCATGCGACAGGCTGTGGGGTGGATTCACCGTTGGATGACATTCCCACTTATTAAAAACAAGTACAGATCTTCATGCTATAATGAATTATAATATATATTGACTGTCCTATATTTGCTATGCCGAGGTGGATGAAAGTGTGTTGGGATGATTCCAGCCATGAGCTGTTTTGAAGTACTGGAATAATTGTGGAAAAAAATGGTACTTTTGGAAACATGGCCTGTGGGACTGAACTACAAACCTCTCAAACAGAAGCAAAGAAAAGTACAAATCCTCATGATAAGTTCTGAATTTTTGCAAGACAAAGGAACCTCTCACCATCAACTTACCTGCAGTGATGGACGAGCTTAAACTTGGGGATGAATTGAAATTTCCACCTTGTACTGGTGTATGCTGAACATTATGATTAGCGTATGGAGATCCAGTAGGATTGTAATTAGCAACTGGACCAGACACATCGGCATAACTAACATTCAAGCAACTCCCACTTTGTGGGTCTTCTACCACCTTAGACAGAATCATGAGGCACGCTGTCCTGTTGCATTCCATTTCACCTGCAACACAAGCGCTCGCTGCCAGATACAAAATTATCATCTACTGCAAAAATGCAAAACCTGCCCACGAGATCGTGCAACACCAGGAAATTAAAATAATCCTCAGACTTCTTAATTCTTTGCACTAGAGGCAGTGGCTCAAACTGAACACAGAACCTCCTGAATATTATATTATTTCTTACAATACCACTGGGTGGACAATGCCCATAAAAATTAATTTTTGTTTCTAAAATTTTAACTTAGATTTCACTTCCATCATCCCTGATCAGAGACTGGTGTGTCACATCTATTTGATTTATCAAATACATTAATATAAAAAGGATGTTGTGTCAAGATGCATCTGATTTTATTTTGGGGACGGGGGAGAGGCTTATGACATCATCGTGCTCCATGTGTATCCCTTCCAAAGACTGAACCATATGGTTGATTTTAGCAAAATCTGGTATAAATGTTATGTCATTTGGGGGCCACCCAAAGCCCATTCATTTTAGCTTTAGTCAATAATAACATGGCGGACACAAACTTGTGAAAGGTAGCAACATTAGCACCACTTAGTATTGGTTCCTGAAGTAATGCATGGTAATCGATCTTTGAAAGATATACTACTTCCATGGGGTCCGCAGTGGCTGCGCGGTCTGAGGCGTGGGCCTTGTGCTGCTTGGTCGCTGGGACCGTGGGTTTGAATCCCACTCAAGCCATTGATGTCTGGCCACGTTTTTCTGTGTTGTGCTGTCCTGTGTACAGGTAGAGGCCTTCCGACGGGCCGATCCCTCGTCCAAGGAGTCCTACCGAATGTCTATAGATCAAAGCCAACGAAAAGTTGGGACCCGCAGTGCTCAGGCACTTGAAGAACGGGTCATTCCCAGTATCCCAGCTACTTCCATTAAGTCTTTAATTTTAGATTTTGGGTTTATTTTAAAAAAACATGAAAGGCAAGATTTCGTTTGTAATATATCATACATTATTAGAATTCTTTACAGACCACCACATGAGCCCTGAAGAACCGACACCCATTTGCAATAGTTTCTCAGTTACAAATATTCTGTCACCTGCTTACACTTCTCGTCACACAAACAGTTGATTTCCTTATCCTCATTTCTGTGACAATAAAGACAAATTATGTCTATAGCATCTTATCTGCTGTAAAGTACTACACAATTCATGCAAATTATTCTTCTACTGTCTAGTTTGCATTTGACTCCAAAATTATTGTTTATGTATTTTATATGAACCATCACTGAGAGTAAGTCAGATCTACAAAACTGACTTACCAATAACAGTGATGCATCTCTCTTGCAGAGTCTGGTCTTTGGCTTTTTGTGAGATCTGAACGTATGAGCCACTTTCCTCCTTGATTTGCTTTATATAGTTGCCACCTTTTCCAATAATCATTGAATTTTAACCTGCACAAGAGAGCACATTGCATAAGCTCTCTTATTTTCTAAATTATGACCCCAAACACAACCTTATTACTTGATTATTACATCTATGGGTTTGTTGGATGGATCTTCACGTTCTGTAATACCAAGGACTGCTTGCAGATGGAAGAGGAATGAGCATCCCAATCACTGACTTCTATGGCTTGAACTCTTTTAATTAATAAGTATTAGTTCAGTGTTGTTTTGTATCTAGTTCTAAACATGGATATTCTTCAGATACAAACAAAACTATAACAATGATCTATGAAAATAATGCACATTTTCCAACCCACCACAAATATTATCGTGATCCATTATATATATACGAATATTCCAAACCTACTTGTTTATCTCGTTCAGCGGACGTTTTATTGTCAAAGTCAATTGCTTGTTTTGCATTCATGTCTGGTTTCTCTCTGATTTTCTCCATGATGAATATTAGACAAGCCATTATAGCATCCACATTTCCTGTTATCAGACAGACTCTCTCAGATGTGCCTGTCAAAGCAAAATCACACTTCAAAATGCAGCATGCAAAGCAATTTCACCTTACAGAATTATTTTTTTCAAATTTAATATTACATTACATCAAATCCAAATCACCTGGATAAAAGTCATTGGCTTTTGACATTTTTACTCGAGCTCCAGTGTCCTTCTGAAGCTGTGCTATTGTATCACCACCTTTTCCAATGATAGCTCCTGCAGCAACACCTGGTACCAGCATCTTGAAGTGGTATGTTCCATCTGCTGTTGAAATCATGTTAAAAGTTAGGAGACTGTGATAAGAATGTCAACTGCTGAATTTAATTGTTTAATTTTACCAATTAACCAAGTGTGGTGTTAGTACATTCTACAAGAACAACAAAGTAACAACGGTTGCGGCATATACCAAACCGGGACTTCTCTTAAATTTGAAAAAATCTAGCAAACAAAAGTGAGGTATTTCCCTGTTTGCAATCTGCGGTTCTACCTCATATAACAAACTCTACAATTTAAAAAGGGAGTTTAATTATTTTAAATTACAAATTATTTTATTTTACGATCGCGTTACTTCGTTTCGGTTTCATTTGTTTCTTGATAGATATAGACTATGATTTTCCAAAGAAAGTGACGACAACCAACATTTTTCTGATGAACTATATTAGAAGAATGCTACATAGAAAAATGGGTTCTTGAGAGAGTTAACTCAATATACTGCTTCAGATGTCACATTATAACGGTTTAGGGAAAAATAATTCTCAATCACCAGGCAGGCGTTATGTGCATTCCCAACGCAACGATGTCGGTCGGCGATTGCAACAACTGAAATTACTGCTGAGAACGACACTTATTGCAATACATTTTGCCAGCACGCGCCCAGTTTTCATAAAGTTAGGCAGAGAGGATATGGGTGTTTCCTATCAATCTTGGAGGCACAAAATCAAAGTATCGATGTGCAAAATTTTTAATTTCTCGAACCCTTAAAATGAATCGCCAAAAACGGAAAGTTGAACAAAATTAAACCAGCAACCATGTAACAAATGGCACCACAAGTACTTAAGGTATCAAAAATAAATTGTAAGAGAAACGTAAATATGACAGCCATCTTTCTGATGCCCAGTGCGTATTATGTTACCAAACTTTGGGAGTAAGTTCCACGTTTCCCGTCAAATTACGACAGCATTTACATACAAAGCTTGCCGATTGCAAAGACAATCTCTCGCGTTTTTAAAACATATATGTGATTTCTCAAACTAATTTGACATCCGTCATTAAAGGTGAAAATTGACAGTAAACTGTCATGTTGCTCACTGCGACGAAGTTCATACGATTGCCGAAAATATAATTATGCCTTGCGTAAAGTTCTAGTTTCATGTTGACAATCACCCGAAGGTTATAAAAATCGACAACTTTCAAATTCTACAGTTTCGAGAAGAATCGAGGACATGAGCAATAATATCGAATGCGAAGTCGTTGAACGAATTTAAAGCGGTCGTGTGCTAGTTGAATCCACTGACGTCGTCGATCTCTCTGTTTTGCTTGCATTTTTGGAAAAAATCAAGATGAAGAGGAAATTTGTATGTGTTGACGTTTGCCTGCTCGCACTACAACAGATATTTTCAATCTAATTTCCGTACACATGGCGGAAAAATTCCTTAGTTGATCGAAGGTTGGGGATAAGGGTGGGTTTATTGCACATGTTAATGCCATTGCACCAGAACGCACTAGTAGCCACATCATTCATCGCCAAGGTCTTGCTGTGAAAAAGATTCCAAACGCGCCGAGGAACGTGTTAAAGAAGGCTGTGTAATTTTATAAAATCACGACCACAGAAATAAAGAATTAGCTGCGCGTTTTGTGACGAAATAGGTAGTAGTTAGTGCAACGTTACTACTGCACACGTCGGTTCGATGGTTATCATAAGACAGTTCTGCACACATTGCGCTCAGAAATTTGTTATTTATTCAATGTTGACCATCCATCCAGCTTCAATCACGTATGTGTGGCTCAGAGGTTACCACACTTAGCAGACATTTTTACACAGATTACTGAACTAAATTTATCATTCCATTTACAGTTATCTCGGTATGTGAAGAATCACAGTTTTGGACGACATGCATTTAAAAATTTCACAGACTGTTTTCTGACACACAATGATTTTTAACTGAACCGGAGAGTCAGATAAGTGATTATGGTCTTTCAGACATAATATAACATGCATGAGACCTGCACATTACAGTGAAAGAATATTTTCCACCTGTGGTAGAAAGTTTTCAGTGGTTACAAAGCCCACTTTTTCCCGCTCACAGAATATGATTTCAGAAAATAATATGAAGAATTAATTGGCATGTCAGCAGACACAAATGTTCTATGATTAACTTATGGACTCGTCTGAAAGAAGAGTTTCTACACATTTCAAGTGCAGCTGTGACAAAGTGACTTCTGTCTTCATCTGCATTCCTGTGAGAAAGTGTTTTCAAGATGTGCAGCAATAAGAATGAAATACCAAAATTGGCAAAACTGTATCTGACCTCAACGCATCTGTGGCCAGCAAGCTGGTTCAACATACGTGAGTACAACATAAACTGTTTGGGGTAGATTTGAATTTTCTGTACACAGAGTTACAAAAAAAACAAACATAAGTTCTTGTTTTGAGGACTTTGGAAAAATATTTTATTACTGCAGCAGCAAAAAGTATGAGACCTGCTCCTATAGAAATCATATGTCGCTCTTTATCTCTGTTTCAAAAATTGTATGACTCAAAATTAGGTAAATTAGTAATGGAAAGCAGTGATGACCAGAAGCATGTAGGTGCCATGAAAAGTAAACTTCATGGTCAGTGCCAGAAGTTAGAAGTCCAACCTTTTCCACGTGAAAAAAATGTGAAGAGCATCAAATAGTCTGATTTGCCATAGGCCTTACATTCCTCTAGGGATGGCCTTGCATTAACAGGGACATTTATTCTGAAGTATCCATTAACCATTCCAGCACGTAAATGAAGTAGCCTAACCAAGACCGAGATTCAGGGTCTTCCTTAAGCAATTATAGAAAGTCCTGTTATAAAAACAGTCTAAAAATCTACCTGTTTAATTTAATTTTTGTGCATTTCCCTGAATTTCTTTTCAAGCATTTGAATTATTAATAGCATTACAACACAAAATATATTTAGTAGTGTCATGGACAGTACTGTCACTAATAACACCTAAAATATTCAAACTCCTTTATTCATATATGACATGTCACTTTAAATAAATCATTACTCTGGGAGAGAAGTGGAATGCTCCAGAGTGTAGTTTTTAAACAATCATGTATTAATAAGCAGTTATAAACATAAGGCCTCTGCAACCACTCACATGTTTTTTTAATATAAAACTTTAATATGATTCGCTAAAGTAATGTAGTACTGAATACAAATTGAAAGTGTCATCCTCAATGCACATTTAGTATGCATAAATTAAGAGAACAGTACACAGTGTGATTGCTATTGATGCAAAATAATCACTACAAATTTTAATAACTATGAACAGGTGTGTCATATAGTGTATTCCAAACCTAACGCTGCTTCAGGCATGGCATGTCATACAAAAGACCTTACATAATTTTTCTACAAATATTTGTTTACTGTCTTTCAGAGTGTCTCTTACTATAACTAAGAGCAAAATTATGAATTATCTTTACTGTAACTCTGATTATAATATTTAAAATAGTAATGTGGCGTTTAAAACTCCAAGATTGTATATCACAAGGTCACAATCTTGTCCTCCAGATATTTGTATAAGACGTTAAATAAATAACAGCAGATGCGATATGTGTATTAATAGAGAAATATGAACAGGTGTTCACAAACCGCAACAGATAATGTTAATATATACTGCTACAGTAAATTGTTAATGTCATGACATTGAAATGCAAGTCACCTATCAGTAAACACCTCACTAAAACAGGTGCAATAAATATAAATCAGAAGAATGTCATATTATAACTCAATTCTAAAATTATATTAATGTTCGTTTCACACAGAATGACACTACTGAATGACAAGTTGCACGTGAAATACTACAGTTTGCACTAAATTCTCGTAGGTGCCACCTCAAAGTTGGAGCGAAATGTCTTACGAGGTTAAGGTTAACTTATGTTTAGCTTAAATACATGTAAATAGAGTTAAATCGGTTAAATTAATATTTCTTTACCTCCCCCGTAATGCGATCTCTTTGTCATCCCATTTTCAACTTCGCCGTCCAATGGTCTTTTCCTAGAATCTGGTATTTCTGGGGATGGACACGTATCCATTCCCGAGTCAGCCGCCATATTGGACTGCGCTGCATTCCACAAGCGACGTCGGCAAAGAACTCGGCGAAGGCTGCAGTGTGAGAAGCCCTGTCGGTTACAATGACAGTCCCGTCAATAAGCGCAAATTATTTTGGAGCTTTTCCGCATTCATTTCAAATAAATGCGTCAGCAAAGAAGCGTATGAAAAACGTGTTTTAATTTACGCAAGTGCACTCAATAGTTGTGTGTCAGCACTTTCGAACAAAAGTATAAACATTCTAGATACTCAAATTTTTAACAGAAAAACAAATTCAAGTTTGAATTGTTCGTATTCATTACACTTCTTTTATTTTTCCAACTATTTTCTCAAGACACAACTATTTTTAGCGTTTTCTTCGAACTCTCGTGTATTTGACTAATGGCTAAATATCATTTCACAATTATACTGGCTTGATCGAATTAGGATGCCACATGGATAATTAACGTGGCAATTTACCTTTACGGACAAATACTTTATTTGAAGGAAATTAAATGAAATAATAAACATGATGAGGGAAGTCAGTTCTTGATGAAAAGATAATTTTTATGATCAACAATTTATCTGCGCAGATTGCTTTTCCTTCAACACTATTATACGCGTTACGAACGTAATTAATAAACTAATTTTTATAGCGCGCGGATTTCCTGTTTTACAAATGTTGTGTTTTTAATGCAAAAGTTAGGTAATGTATGATGAAAATTAACTCATGGTTTATCGTGCTGGAATCGTATATAGATGGTCATATGATCGAATCCTTCTTCAGTTATTATTCTTGTTATGTAATTTTAAATATGTTAGCGTATTGTTTTATTATTATTAATTTAACTCTGGGAACAACTTATTGTTTTTAACTCCAGGTTCTGTCTACGTCAAACTTGACAAATATAGGACTATAGGCTAACCTCAGAATTTCGTCCTGTCGCCATATTTGTAGCTGTTGATTTGTAAACAATACCTCATAATACTTAACCCACATAATTTTTAGCAATATTAATAAATGTTTGCACCAAATGTTATTTTAATAACTCTAATGGTCCATTAGTTGCCTATCACTGTTTATGTGAAAGCGATATAAAATGCGGACCTTTCGCAATATTATTTAACATTATACAGAAAATTACTGTAGGAAGCCTTCATATTTTCGAATCTCTGTTAGTCTATCTGGGTGACCCCTTGACTGAATCTCTGCCAGGTGACCGGTTATCTTGACTAAATTTTCTCGTGGATTGCCCTAGTCTCTCCAGCCAAATGCTGGATAATACCTTGAATACGTCCATTTCCTTTCATACGAAAATTTCCTGGTAATTATCTATTAATCATACCATTCGATGCTGCATAGTCTGAGCTACTGACAGCTTTTCTAAATAAACCACAAATAATACCACATATAATGTATTTTCTGGGATGTAGTTTACCAGCCCTGATGATGGAGGCAGCAAGGACCTCTGAAACGTCGCTAAACTTCTACCAGAATAACCCAGAAGACAGCCATCTTCGAACTCACCGCCGTGAAAACCTCAAATCCTGAATAGCACATATATTCTTACTTAATTCTAGTGCTCTCTAATATCGATCACTCCTCACAAATTCGTGTTTTTGCTATATTGTTAACATTTATTGTGTAAAATTTGAAAGTAAAAGTTTTAGCTGGTCCTGAGTGGCATAAATTCTAGACAAACTATTATCAAAATCAGTCAATTGTTTTAGGAGTTGTAGAAAATTAAAAATTGTGAGTATTACCTAGCCCCGAATCGCATAACGTTCATACCAAATTCCATGAAAATCGATCAACTGGTTTAGGAGCAGAAACGAGGAACCTACCCTTTTTTCTGTAACAAAGGAAAGCAGGCTTGATCGTTGGTCAATATAATTAACATAATATAATTAACAGACATGAGAAACGTATGAAGTGTGGATCTGGCAGTGACCTCCTTTTATGTTGACACATGGGCGCAACTCTCGCGTTGCGGCAGAATGTCGAAATTGTTGCTGGTCGACGAAACATTTGCATAAAGAGAAGCAGGTTCGCAGAGTTAAAGAAGAGGTTTTACTGGTCGAGTGGCACTTCTAAAATGTGTCCCACCTCTCCTCACTTCCATACTGCAGCTTAAGGTTCCTTATTTGTTTACATATTACAACGAGAAAACGCATAGTTGCATGGCTCACACCTAACACGATGCAATGTTCACCCCTTCTTGGCTCTTCGAGGAACCAGGGGGGGAGGGGGGGTTTTAAAATACGCAGACTCAGATTTTTCGTGGATTTCCTTAATGTTGGAATGATTCATTTAAAAAGGCCTTGACAAATTTTTTCACAACGTTTCGAAATTATCGTTAGTAACCATCCTGTCATTCTGTGCTATGAAAATATTCAGTTTAGAAAGTGAAATGTAAGGTTTTCATGACAGCGAGTACTTTTTTATACTGAATAGACTAGCATGCAGACTTCTGTCACTATTTGATATTTACCAGGCGCGAGTAAGGTAAATCATAAAACCTCGCCCGTGATGGTCGGCCTTGGGATTCGAACTCAAATCCTTCGACTAAGACGTAAACCTGCTGCTACTAGTTCACCTCATTCTTACTCTGTAACCTACTGAATCCTGCAGTGCAGTGAGGCTTGAATGTGCAGCTGATGACAGTAGCCTCAGAAGAACAAAATAATTTGAATTTGTGTTAATGTTCTTTTCTGAAATGTTTCCTCAGTGATAATCGACGAGGTTAACGATAAGGTTGAATTGAATGATGATAAAATGATTCAGGCCTAACTGTGTAGAAAGCCTGTCTTGCCTTCGGGATGTCATTGCAGAGGCATTAGGACTGTTCTCTTTAACCTCGTGACCAGAATGGCTTTGGGTTCACCGAAACCCAATGGTACTGGACGACCGAATGGCCTGCTTCCATCTTTTGCCAAATTTAAGACCGCGCCAATATTTGCCTCAGTCTGAAGAGACACTAAGATATTAAATAACTCCCAGGTTTCTCAATAATAAATTCGTTTCCCGGATTCCAGGGTTCCATTTCTAATCAAGATTTGTAGCAACACAGATCCCTACAGCCATCGTGTTAATTAAGTTATAAATGATTTGTATGTTCTGTGGGATTTCATATCACATTTATATGATGGTTAGCAAACAACAATATAGATAAACTAGTAAACCAAACCGCTGATTAAAAATAAGACAGGAAAAGAATGTACTGTGATTTCGCTTTTCTGTTAGTCAATGTTATCGATTATTTTAATATAATTTCCAAATGGAAGCTATGACTTTTATTGTACTTATAGTTTATTTAACGATATTTTTTTTTGTAACTCAGATTTTGCAGCGTCTAACGAGAGGATGATAGTAAATAATGAATTGAAGCCTAATTTAAGGCACTAACCCGGTATTTACCTGGCGGAGCTGAGGAAAACCGCGGAATCCCTCAGTCAAGATAGCCGGTCTTTGGGCCAAGATTTAAACCCGGGACTTCCCGAATACAAAGTAGGAGTGCTAACCACTCAACCACGACGTTCGGTATGGATGTAATAACAACAGCACATCTGCAGTTCCGGACGTAGAAACATACAAAATTGTGGCACTCAGAAACCAAAGCCACCTAAGAAAAGATGTAACATGAATTACGACGTAACGAGCTGATTTGCAGATCTAAAGGCCTAAATCGTGACACCGGAAGAGGAAGACAGAAGGTGCTGGCCTATGTGTGAATGCGAAGAGGGGACCTATACTGAAATGTTGAAACTTGGAACATGCAACCTGTTATGTGGGTCGACGGGTGATACGCACAGACACCCTACGCCGTCCTGCCCAGTGACATTTCAGCTCAACATTTTAGCCGTGGAACTCGGTTGGGGGTGAGGAGGGGGGGGGGGGGGGGGGGGCGAAAATGCTTTAAAATGTTTTAATGTTTAAATTAATGTATTGTGCAAAACTGTTTTTTTTAGTAGGATTTGAGCGGTGAGTACGAAGATGGCTGGTCGGCTGTCCTCTCTGTTATAGGACCATGTAATCTGGTAGAAGCTTACCAGGGTTTCAGGGGTAGGTCGTCCTCTATAAGACTACTTCATAATCATATTTTAGGTTACAAAGAGGTTGTCTCAAGACTAGTTCCACTGCCGTTGGACATTCGTTCACTAATTTCGTCGTTATATAAAAATATAATGGCGTTCCGTCACGTAATCGAAATGTTCTTACGTACATGTATGCACGTGTTTTAAAGACGTTGAGTGTTACCAGCGGAAACAAACCTTTGTCTATTCTTTTACGCGGTTGATCAATACCGACTGAAGTAACCTTAAGGATAGGCCAAATGTGGAAACAGGTAACATTCCGGGCTGATGTCAACCTAAAGCATTATTTCCTGATTTCCTTTTCGGGAAATGGCGTGTTGAGTCTTTATGTGTTCAAATTGGTACATGACGAAAATTACGCTATAAAAATTTCAATCCTGTTTACTTCAGCACAAAATATCCCAAGTTAAATCAGTGCCGGACGTATTTATCTTAACACTTATGAGTAGGTTATTTAAAAGTAGAAAAATGGTATGAAATTGTTAGTTTGTAGGAGATCATGGGCTTCTTGAACGTTCTAACACGGTATTTGCCTGGGAAAACTGAGATAAACCTACGAAATACTCTGTAAACATAGCTCGGACTTGGCTAACTCAACGAGGGGACTCCACAGACAGTTTTTATGTCATTTCTCTCCCTTTTCTACCAGAATAAGGAAGTAGAATCCAGATTACGAAATATTATAACTCACCTTCGACAGAAAGCTTCAGACAAGTAAATTCTATTCTAATTTTGCCCATATTGTTTAAATGATGAAATCAGTTAGTTTGGTAGTAAATTCTTGTACAAAGGTTATCAGAAATGTTTCTTCTCAGCTTCGCTTCTAACGACTAATTTAGACATATATTTATTTTTCTGTAAATAAAAATTATCTTATATTGTAATATCTTACATTTATACACTAAGCAATCATCCTGTCATTACATATTGTAGAAAGGAAAGGCTGGTTATATTTCTGCAGATAAGACTCGGATGATTAATTCCTTGCAATTTCGTTGCAATTCTAACGAAACCTGCATCACA